ATCAGAGACTTCTTCGGTTCGGAAACAAAGATTGAAATAAAAAATAAACGAGGAGAGGAAAAGGTGGGTGGTCTCAGATCCATCATTATTTATCAATAGTTTGACTAATAACAATTTACGGAGGTCTCGTCATCGACCAAAACAGTATAATAATAAAAATAAAAGTCTCAAAGATAAATTAAAATGCTAAAATTCAACTTTTAGAAAAAAAATATGTTCAAAAGCTCTAAAAACTAATTTTAGAAAAAATAGTTTATAAAAACATATTAATAATTTCTTTAAGAAGTAATTAGAAAAATATTTACAATTCTAAAAACTATTTTTATAAAAAAACCTATACTCTAAAAACAAACTTATTTAAAAAATATTATAAATTATAAAAAATATATTAAAAATCATATTGACAAAACAAATGAGTTATCATTAACGTTAATTCCAACTAAACATAACGATGTGGCACCAACAGCCCGTGAGCAAAAAAAGAGTAGAAAACAGTCCATCGGTAAAGACTATGCAGTATGGATGAAATCAAAGCGTCATTCCCAACCTTCACACGATTCGACCAGGCCTCAAGGTTTGGACTTGGGTCGCTTGATTCAGTTTTCTCTCGATCTAAGCTTCAGGTTCGCTTTTCGATTTGAACTGGCTTCGTTACTCCGTTTCGGTTCACCTTCGTCTCTGGTTTGGATTTGTGGGTTGAGTTGAAAGGGGAAAGATGAGTTTGTTGATGGCAAGGACGGTGGTTCACAATTTTGAGTTCGTTTATATGGTTTTGGAGGAGGAAATATAGTATGGAAATGGAGAAGAGGTTTGAAGGGTTTGCAGATTTTGAGGAGAAATGGGTTTGCGTGTGGGAGCGAAGGTTTGGGTTTTCTGGATTTTCGTCGCGAGGGCAGCTTCTAGGGTTTTCTGGACTGAGGTTGAAGAAGAACAGTGCAGGGACTATATACTCAGCGACACATGGCCTCCTTGTTTCTGTTGTTTTTTCATTTTTGTCTTTTTCTTTTAATTAAATGTTGTATTATCTAATTAACTAGACTAAATCCTAATTAACTAATACTAATTAATTTCTAACTATATTCTAACTTAATAAAAAACCTAATTCTATCCTAATATAATCTAAATTCCTAATAAAACCTAATCTCTAATAAAACTAATAATTCTAATTCTAATTCTATTTCCTAATAAAAAACTAATTAAATAATAAATCTTAAACCTATTTCTAGAAAACTAATTAAACTTCTATGCTAAATAAATAATAAGTAACTATTAAAATTCTATATTCTTAATAAAAAGTCTATTCTAATTCTAATAATTCTAATTCTATTCTAAAAAAACTATTTTCTAATTCTAAATCTAAATTCTATATTCTAAACATGCTAATTAAATAATTCTAAAACCCTACTAAATATTAACTATTATAAACATGAAATTATAAAGCAAAAAATAAAAATAAATCACAAAATGCCACGAAATAAAAACGGAAAAAGGACGAACACCGAAACGCAACCAAAATTATCAGCACGGACTGAACCACCAGGAAGAGACAACTTTCGCTCGATTTCGACATGGAACTTAACATTCGAATTGGTTTAAACTGTCTAAAATGCGAACAAAACGGTTGTAACCCCGATAAACTCATTCCGACTGATAACATGGACAGTATGCGAGAAATGATCGACCTAGATGACGTGCAGATGAATGCGAAGCAAAAGCCAGTCAAAGTTAGAAAAAGTGAGGGCAAATTTTGGGGTGCAACAATTGGGTTTTGATGATAACAAAGTATTAAAAGAACAATGGTGTTATGTAATGTGTGTTCTAAGTATGTAGGTTATAAAACTTGAAGAAAAGGCAATTAGAATCTAATATAATGACACATTTGAGAGGAGTTGAGTTACTAGCTCCCGGTGGATCAGAACCTGAAGAATACTCTCTAGGTGATATCTGACGTAAACTGTGAAGCTGAAGGCCTCAACATCAGAAGAGCAACATATTGTCTCTACACTATGTTAATGTATCAGCTTCTGGCGAACATAGTTAGTAATAAAGCTTGAGTTGTCCATATTGCAGAAAGCAAACTGCATTGTCAAATCAGTTTGTCAGCTAGAGTATATGTTCACATGGCTCAAAAAGAGTTGACATAATTTACAAATACTATTCTCAACGGATCTATATTACAAGATTACATGGAAGACACAATGGTGAAACATGTTACACAATGGATTAAGATCTTTTGGTATATCTCTCTTTAACGTCTCTTGTACTATGGAAAAACAAAGACACTTGTTCAAGTTATCACTTCCAATGGCTAGTCTTCTACAACTATTATATAAGCTGCTGAAGATTCAAACTGAAGTCTTAAAAAAGAAGCAAATAAAAGGGCAAATATAGAAAGAAAGTCAAGAAGGATAAAAATGTTCTACACTTCTGTTTGGATGGAGGAGTAACAAAATCAACAATAAGCAACACAACCGAGTATGCATAGTTTCTGCTATATGTTGCAAATTGTAATAAGCTTTAAGATTTCTTAAAACATTGAATATCTTAGAAATCTTAAGTGTGTAAGGTCTTTGTTATGATGATTACTATGTACCTCTGATTTTGTATCAAATACACTCTGTTCTCTATTCTGCTAAACATGATTGTTTAGTAGTTTAGATAAAGTTTCTTGTTATGTGCTTTGGCATTAAAGTCTCTTTTTGTGAAGCTTGAGCCAAGTAAGTCTCCTGCTATGTGTTGGAGCATTAAAAGTCTTGATCACTTATTGATTTAGTAGAAAGTCTTAAATTGTGAGTCTGAGCAGAAGTCTTGAGTTTGTGGAACTTAAGCAAGGAAGTATTGGGCCTGAAGGGCTTGAGCATAAGTCTTGAGTTTGTGGAATTTAAGCAAGGAAGTATTAGGCCTGAGAGGCTTAAGCAGAAGTCTTGAATCGAAGGCCTGAGTAGAAGTCTTGAGTCTGAGAGGCTTAAGCAAAGAAGTCCCGGGTTCATGGAACCTAAGTAGAAAGTCTAGGACCTGAGGGGTTTAAGCAGAAAGTCTCGGGCTGAGAGTCCGAGCAAAACAAAATCTTATACTTAAGTGTATAAGCAGTTCTAATCATGTTTGATTATAGTGGAAATCTCTTGTGTTGCAAGGGAGCTGGATTACTCTCCGTTTGGGAGGAACTAGGATAATTCAGTTGTGTTTGTTATCTGTTTATTTACTTCTACTATTATCTGCTGCATCTGTTATCAGGTTCTTAACTCTGTTTAGAAGTATAAACAAATTGGAGAACACAATTCAACCTCTATTCTCGGGTATTTTTCTTAACTTCAATTTCTACATAAGGTAATTTGTTGGGTACAATATTAAAGGACATAAAATGTGTCCTATATATGAAGCTGGTAGATGCTACCACCAACTAAAGAGTAGGAAAAAAAACTATGTACATAAGGCATAAAAAATTTCTAAGACTCAATCATTCATACCGTAGATTGCGAAAAGCTTTTAATAGAAAACATGAGTTTGATATCGCTTCAAAGCCCATAACTGAGGAGGAAATTTATCAATTATAACAGCATATTAATATTTTTTTTGGAAAGAACCAAAAGGAGCTTGTGGAGAAAAATATATGGAAAAAGAGGTTAGTGTTCTTTGATCTTTCATATTGGTCAGTCTCGATGTAAGACACTATCTTGGTTTGATGCATATAGGGAAATATGTGTGTGATAATGTAATTGAAACACTCATCAACATTCAATGCAAGCCAAAATATGGTAAGAATATCCGTCTGGATATGGTAGAGATGAATATAAGACAAGAGTTATCCGTAAAAGAAATAGGTAAAAGAACATATTTGTCCCTAGAGTGTCACACTTTGCATAGAAAGAAAAACTGATTGCAGAGTATCAAAGTTCCTCAAGGATACTCGTTAAATGAAAGATCTCAAATTAATTGGCTTAAAATCTCATGATTTCCATATCTTGATGCAACAATTTCTATCCGTGGCTATTCGTGGCATCTTGCAAAAAAAAAATGTAAGGAAAACTATAACTAAATTATGCTTATTTTTCAATGTTATATGTAATAAAGTCGTTGATCAACAAAATTTAGATGAGTTGGAACATGAGACTTCTTCAATAATCATGTGTTAATTGGAGACATATTTTCCCTCAATTATTTTTTTGACATTATAATTCACTTAATTTTTTATCTAGTCAAAATAATTAAATATTGTGGCCTAATTTATTTAAGATGAATATATCCAATAGTGCGATATATGAAGATCTTTAAATGGTATATGAAAAATCAAAAAAATGATAAAACATTAAAAACAATTAATTTTTAAGATGAGTTAGTGAGGTTAATGGATCAACAATTTTTATTATTATTAATTTGAGTTATTTGTCATGGGGGTAATAGGAAGTGAGTAAATGGGTGAGGGATTTTTTAATATTAATTTATCATTTATTAGTTAGTAGTTAATGAAGGTTAATTGGAAAGTAAGGGTTAATTTTTTCTATATTAATAATTAATGTTTTACTAATTTTTATTGATTAATTTATAATATTTAATTTTTTTAATCTAATTTTGGCGGAAAATTTTAGAGCATTTAGGATTATACTAATTTAGTATGATGATAGGATATATATAATACAAAATATTCATTACAACATTTAGTATACAATAAATTGATTTTTTTTTATTGAATTTTAGTGTAACATTTGTTTCATTATTTTTTTATTTGACAACTATTACTATAATTAAAAATATAACATTTTAAAATTCGAACAAATAGATATATCCTTTTTGGGAGATGTAGTTAAGAGCCCCAAGAAAATAACGGGCCTAATTTCCCTTAGGGGGCCATTGGATTACCCAAAAATGAATGAAATCCAATTCCAAATTTTCTGAACGACAAAACCCTAATTTCTTCTTTGTCCAAAGAAAACCCTAACTTCAAGCTCACAGAGGAGAAGGCTTCCACATTTCCAGCGTCTCAGCTTTCGTTCCGTTCAACAATGGCTGTTAGTAACTTTCTCATTCCATCATCATCTTTCGTTAACGCAAAAGCATATGAACACTTTACTAGTTTTTCGAAGAACGCGAATTGGTGTATTGAAATTGAGTACTATGTGATTTAATTTGAATTATTGTTCTAATTCATGTTTTGCAGACTATACCTGTTAACCCCAAGCCTTTTTTGAACAATTTGACTGGGAAGCATGTTATTGTGAAGCTAAAATGGGGAATGGAGTACAAAGGTAGGTCCTTTGTTGTGTTGCAAATTTTTTAGTGGTTATTTTGTAGAGAATTAAACACTGTATGCATATTTTTAATAATCTGTTGTTGATTTTGCTTTTGGGTTTTGTTTTTGTTTTGTAGGTTATCTTGTTTCAGTTGATTCCTATATGAACTTGCAGGTACAATTCCAGATACAATCATTGGTGGCAGTTATGACAATTCTTTTTTATTGGTACTTATTTGGCTTTGTTGCTCTAGCTATAACATTTTTTTTTTGATATTTGTGAACTTCTGTTTAGTTGGCGAACACTGAAGAGTACATTGAGGGAAATTTTACAGGGAATTTAGGAGAGATTTTAATCAGGTAACTTACATATTAACTATTTTACTATTTGCCAATCGCCTATGGCTTTGTGTTTTTCTAGGACACACAAACTCTCAATTTGTTTTTTCTATCTTTGAAATTGATGTTGGAATTGGATAAGGAAAGAAATTTGTTTATCTACCATTTGATATTTTTTTATACTCTGCTATATGTTTGTTGAGGCAGAAGGTATAATCTGCTAATTGTTTGTTGGTTTGAATAGAGTGATCTCAATTTGGATGATTTATGATTGATTATATTGCAAAAGAAATCACTTTCTACATTTCGTTTGCTAGTATGGTTGTATGGTCCGCTTAGATATGTCTTAGTTATGTGATACTCTATCAACACCAAATCAGTACTGTCAAATTGTGGCCATGGCGGATTGTGGTTGCAGAAATTTGTTTCTCCCAGGATCATATTCATTCATTTGTTTAATGAGATCAGAATATATGTTGATTATTATTTTAGAATTTGATTTGCTATACTAACTGTTCTGTACTAGGAAATGAATTAAGTCAGGTCCATAATAACTAAAAAATTGACATTGAAGGGAAAGTTGCAGCAAGAAAATTGAAAGGAAAATCTGATTATAATTCTAGGGGAAAAATATCTGCACATTGAACTTATGTTCTAATCACTCAAAGATGCATTAGTTCTAAACAATCTAAAAATAACACTGATATTTCTGAGTGACAGAGTGAAGGCTTGTTGCAGTGAACTTCTCACTATTCCCTTTAATATGTCCCTGGAAGCGTAACTGGTATTGGCTTCACTCACAGTAAGGTCAAACTTGAAAGGAGGAAAGACCTTGGTCATAACATCTATACACTGTTGAAGACCTGAGATATGGAGCCTCTGAAGCTGCTTTTGAAGGACTTTCTCTCTAACAAGAAATAAATCCAACTACATGTGGTTTGTGTGAGCATGAATGCTATGGTTGTGGGATAGAGCAATAGTACTTATGTTGTGGTCATAATGTCTGCATATTGTTGAGAACATGAGATATGGAACTTTTTTTAAAAGGGTTAATAGACATTTTTTTTCTCTCGTGTTCTCTCTCTGCTTCCTTCGTGTTTCGTTCTCAGCGCTTCTTCCTTCTTCTCTCTCGGCCGTCATACCCTAATGGCTACTATTTCATCTTCCTCCGGCCACAAGTATGTCGAACCTTGCTTTTTTATCTGCATCTTTGAATTCAATGCCCATTGGGCGTTCCACTGCAGCAGGTTTACATCTCGTTTCTGTTTTAGATGAGTCAGCTCTTAGCATTTTGGAAGCATTATTGATGGTTATGAGCAAAAAGGGGTTTTGGTGTTTTAAAGGTATATGATGCATGATTTTTGTTTCTGTGATGGAGAGGGTGTGGAAGATGGTGATGTTGTGAATGTTTTGGTTATGGTGCTTTTTTTAATGAAGGTCAAGTATTGTTGAAGGTTTTTTTTTCATTTTGAGTTGGAAGAAGTGAGAAATAAAGGTGATGGTTTTTGTAATTGAAAAGGGGAGAAAGTGAATTCAGGTATTGTGTTGTTTTAACAGGATTTTCGTGGGATTATTTGTTTAGTTTTAGTTTAGTTTAGTTTTACATTAAGTGGGGGTAAGTGGGGTTATTTGTTTAGTTTTACATATTTAAGTAAATGACCTATGTTTTATAGATTATTGCATAACTATTAGTACAAAAGCTTATCCCACTATCCCATTTCTGGGGTCGGCTGCTCCGCTCCGCTTATTAATAACTCTATGGATAAGAGCCCAAATTAGCATAAGAGAAGGCTTGCAGACATGTAAATAGTATTTTATTCATGTATGCTGGCATTAGTCTTGATAAATGGTCCGTATTGCATATTGAAAGGGAGTAGCAAGTAATTCCTCTTTATATGTGACACATTAATATTATTAATCTTGCATGTAATTTTCTAAGCTCAAATTTTACACGGCCAACATATTGTTGATACTATACTATGGATGTTCCATCTTCATTCATTTTTAAATAGCATACTTGTTTTAGCTTTTTGTTGAATTTTATGTATATAATGCTCTTGAATATTTATTTTTTGCTACTAAGTTTAGTTCTGTGAACTTGATCTGGCTCTGCGTCTGCCTCTGCCTGTTAGCTTATGTTGTGGTCTTGTCTGTGAGGAAGCTCACAAGAGTGTGACGATGGCATGATCAAGTTATGTTGTGGTCTTGTTTGTATATCTGGATTTATAGTCCAAATATGATAGTCAAGTCTTATATCATTGTTTGTATTTGTAGATGTAACAATGTTCTCTATCTTCGAGGAGTACCAGAGGATGAAGAAATTGAAGATGCTGCTGAAGACTAGAATGAAAACAAAAACCATTGTAAAATGTATGTAACCATGTTCTCTACCTTTTCGGGAGTGTACTAGAGGATGAAGAAATCAGGGATGCTGCTGATGATTAGAATGAAGAAACCTTCTTACTGAATTTATTTACTATTTTTGCATCTTCATTTAAATGGATTAGTCTCTCGTGTAGTTATGTGTAGAGATTTGAGTCAAAGACACCCTTGGGGTTCTTATGTTAAGATTGTTCAAATTAAATGGTGTGATTCAATCGGGGTTATGTATAGACTACTTAAATTAGCATACATTTTGTGGTTACACACCCAGTAGATTCTCCTCTACCGGATCTTACTTTCTTATCAAAGCAAAAGCAATACTAATAGTTTCAGTTGATCTCAAGATGCAAAGCAATACTAATAATTTCCCTCAATATCAAAGCAACTAAAACCTATATCAAACTGACCTCCGAAAACCGTTTATAGAATTTTGTTGCATTATCAGTTGGCTCAGATTAATCCTGATTTGCCTCGAACCAAGCAAGAAACCAATAGATAGATTGTTGACCTTCGTGAATATAAAAGCATAATTCTCCAAACAGATTCATAGGGGGTGGAAGATGAGAGCTCCCAACAATATTTGTAACCAGAAGATTTGCTCTATCAAGATATTTGTTAACATATTTAAATAAATATTTGATTGTATTTGATTTTGACTTGTTGCAGTTCTTTGTGTTTACATATCCTTGATATATCATTAAGAAGTTCAAATATAATAGTTGATCGGTTGTTTCTTATGAAATATAATCTTTGAGCTTCTGCGATGGTGTAACCATCCAAAACAAGTTGTTGAAACAATCTCTTTGCAAACACAATGTTATCAAATTTCATTTTTTTACTCTTTGTATTCTGCATGAACTCTTTAACAGTAACTTTTCATTTTTTAAAGTTGTAGCTAACTTCCAACCAAACAGCAAATAAGAGAGAAAATCAACAAGTCTTTCTTTCAAATGATAGATTGAAACTCTTTAGTTTCATTTCCACAAGAAATTTGGAGCAGTTAATCTTTAATATTTTAAAAAAGAATTTATCACAGATTGATCGTAAACCTTGAAGAGCTTTTAACACCAAGCTGGGTTTGCGAATTGAAATTTGATTTTATACCAGGCTAACTAAGAACCTATGAGATTTTACTATCGAGTTGATCTCGAACCAAAAGAAACTTTTAACACAGAGTTGGACTTTAACCGAAACTTGGTTTTATACCAGCTAACCAAGAACCAGTGAAATTTTACCACCAAATTGATGTCGAAGATTTGAAAGCTTTTGAACGGACTGAACTTTCGAACCTAAATGGAGGTTGGACCACACAATCCTCAAACCAAAGTTTTTTTTTACGTGTTTAGCTTCAAACTCAAACAAATATTTCATAAATGTATGAATTTCTTAACCAAGGTAAAAACTAATCTTCCTTGGCAAACTTACAAATCTACCCTTTCAGAATTACAACTTTCTCACTTGTAAAACGAATTTCTCAAAAGCGCTACGACTAAACTTTTAGGGACAATAATGATAAGTCAATTGATTGACACACAACTCCAATCGATTGGTAGGCCTAAGTTAATCGATTAATAAGGTCAAAAAGAAAAGAAAATGTATTTAGCCATTACCATTCATTATGGCACTGTCTTAATCGATTGTGGTGTAATTTTGAATAGATCCAATTGTGAGTGAATTCTTCCATCTAATTGTTGCATAGGCTGACACGCACGAGTTTAGTTCGATCCACCGAAGCTTTTTTGCTTCAGTATAGGTCGACACATAATTGGACAGACCGACCTCCACACACTAATATTAAAGTCTATATGCTCTGTCCAGAGGTCGCCTCACTTAGGTCGACCTAAGTACCTTAACATGCCGACCTATTGCTTTCATATGCCGACTTGTAGCTTTCAAAAACTTCAAATTTATTTTGCATCTTATTTTTTTCTTGCATCCTTTTTGCATATTTTCTCTCATACATGCATCTTTTTATAGTAAGGTACTAGTGTAAAACCTAAACAAAACCAAAATTACAAAGCTTTCTCATCATCTTCAACCTTTCTTCTATCCATACACACAATCAAAATACACATAATCATTTTTTGATTGGGCGACCATCTATATTAAGGTTGATAACGTTCAATTAAGTTGGTGTAACCGAGAATATTGGGTTGGGATCTTTGTATGTTTCAAATAAGAAAATCAAACTGCAATTTTCCTTCAAGATCATTGAGATTTGAAGGTTTTGGACAAGATCACGCAAACACGGATTCGACCGATTGAAGGCCTTGGGACAAGGTGATTCCTTGCAAAGGAGTAGTGCGAGACGGTGAATTGTGTTTGAGAATCTTGGGTTCAACAAGTGCTTGCTAGGGATTAATACGACCGAGCGAAAACCTTGAAGACGAGGAGATCTTTCAAGCAAGTAGTTAAGAACAGGTGGATTGTAGCATCATTGTTAGTGACTTGATTAAAATTTGATCAAGGGTTTAGAGGTGGAAGAATCAACAACAAACCATAGAGTTTGTGAGGTTAGAGTTCTTCATCTCTTGTATAAATATTTTTTCAAAGATAAGGTTAATTGTAAGTATCTCAATTCAATTTGAATTGAGGGAAGACGTACCTATTGTGAGGCCGATTAAGGAACTTCCTAAATAAATCTCTGTGTCTCTCTTTATCTATCTCTCTATCTCTTTAATTTTTGTCTTCACAAATTATCGAGTTCATCGTTGTTTGATCAATTCGATTGGAAATTATTTGTTAATTATCTTTTAAAGTGTTGTTTTTGATATAATCATAATCACTTTGATTGTGATTGATTTTTAACATCAATAAAACAAATTGAATTTCCAATCGTTATCGATCACACATAATATGTTCGATAAATTGCCTTTGTGTATTATAATTGATCTTTGTTCATTTGAAATAAGCTTTACGAATAACTTTGCATTTAATTTACTTGTGAATTAATCGTTGTTGAATAATTTGTGTTCATTATCATCCAATTGGTTTATGTTACGCATATCCGAGCTTTTTGATAGTAGGTTCGGTTAGACGATTCGATTCGGGTTGTTTTCGGTGTGCCATAAAACTTTTGAAAACATTTTTTGCCAAAAGTTTTGTTTTAAATTTGTGATCTATTCAACCCCTCTAGACCAAAGCATATAGTCTAACAAGTGGTATCAAGAGCTTTAGTTAACTCCGTGCTTAAGATTTACTTTTTAGAAGAATGGCTACCAAACCTAAGGGAAGGTACAATAGAGCACAATTTTTCTCCAGCGGAAATTATGGCTATTGAAAAGCTCTTATGCATTTTCATGTCAACTCTGTTAACATAGGTATATAGGATGCCATCGAAAATGTTCCAAATGAAACAACCATGAACAATGAAGGCGTTACCGTACCTTATCCAGAAGCACAACGAGATGCTAATGATTGGAAATTGTGGTCACATGATTGGAAAGCGAAAAACATTCTCACTTATGATTTGAGTGTTAATGAGTTTTATCATGTTTATCAATGTGAGACGCATTAGAAATTGCTCATAAGGGTACTAATGATGTCAAACAAGCTAGGATCAACACATTAAATCAAGAGTTTGAGCTATTTCGCATTGAGCATGGTGAAACCATTGCGGATATGCAAAAATGGTTCACACATCTTATCAATCGATTAAATGCACTAGGTAATCTCGTTTCTAATGAACTTGCTACTAACAAAGTGTTGAGGTGTTTAAGTAGGGAGTGGCAACCAAAGGCCACTCCTATCAAAGATGCACATGATCTTAAATCGCTTGATCTCACGACTTTGTTTGGTAAGTTTGAAGAGCATGAGAAAGAGCTCACTTGCTTAGCAAAATACGAAAAAGAATGTGAAAATAAAGTGACAAAGGAGAAAGGAAAAGACAAAGAAGAAGGGAAAAAGTCCATAGCTCTAAAGACTTTTAGTTCAAGGCCTCTTCATAATGAGCAAAGTGACAGTGAAACTAAAGACAACAATGATTCCGATGAGGAAGATATGGGGCTATTCATAAAGAGGTTCAAAAAATACAAGTGGAAACATGGAGAAAAATACTCTGACAAGAACCATAGAAAATCTATAAGATTATCAAACTCCTAAAAAGAATATGAGAATAAAAAACGTAAGTTTAGAAGTACATGCTACAATATGGGCAAACCGGGTCACTATAAACTGGAGTGTCAAAGACAAAGAAAGAGATCATCATAAGAAATCTAATAAGTCTAGAAGAGCTTATGCTGCTTTGGAAAGTGAAAGTGATTCGTCAAGCGATGAGAGTTCTACTTCAAGCGTTGAATCGATCAAACTTTCCTATATGGCAAACAAACTTAAGAAAAATATTGTAATTCACTCTAACCTTAAAACTTTTCATGACTTAGCTTTCTATCATTTACAAGAATCCTTTGAAAATCTACAAATACAAGTCATAAATGCTTTCAAGAGATTAGCTTCAAACAAAAGAATTATTTTTCACCTAGAAGATAAGATTTCGGAAAATGAAAATAATATGGAATCACTAAGGAAATCTATGTTAGATATTTTAGAGGATCAAGATGAGGAGTATAAATATTTGTGTTTTGGTTGTAATACTTGTCAAAGCTAAATTAGATAAGGTTGTGTGACCTAAGGTTACTTTTGCTATAAATACTTCCAAATATGACTTACCATCTCATAATCCTTATAGAAGGTATAGTTACGTTGAAAACGAACCAAATAGAAAAAAATTTATCTTCTCTTAATTTATATTGTCACTATAGTTCCAAAAAGGGTCACGCCATTGCAAAGTACAAATTTAGGAAACTTTTTGTTCCTAAAGGTGTCTTTCAATGGTTGCCTAGATGCAACCAAAGTTTTAATAATCCCCAAGGACCCAATGAAGATTGGGTACCTAGCACTATTTGTTAATCATGCAGGAAAAATGTCTTAACTCTACGAAGAGAGTATGAGATCTCATTTCTGAAG